TCAGTTGCTGGTTATAAACGTCGCCGTGTTGGACGACATTAAGAATGACTCTTATTTTATGATCACTTGCAGTGCATATTAAAATCAGATCAGACCAGATCAGATCAAGTCAAATCAAAGCAAATATTTATGCAGGACGAAATACCAACTAAACAGGCCTTTTGGAACAGTGCTTACTACTGACTGCATTGTTACGGAGGCTACCAACACCTCATCTTGAGACATTCTGCTGGTATAAGTTCGAACGTCGAATGAGAATCCAACAAAGTGCGAACCGACAGTCTCACGACATCGCTTGCAAAAATTAATTGACAATCATATTGACTTTTCGCTTTCTTACAGGTTGGAGACAATGGCAGTAGGAATTGTGTTGGTAGGCGCTCCAGGAATAAGCGCAGACATATCACATGACACCTTAGGGGCAGAGCACGGTCCAAGTAAGCCCACTTAACGCTACAGGCCAACTTAATGTCAAGCGTACATTGCAATTAAATGCAGTTTTGGGAGGATTAAATAGGCGTTTTAATTTCAGTTGTTCGAAATGAAAAGGTGATTTTAGAGGTTCTTAGAAGTGAAATCTGAGCAGAATACAATGACCGCGTGGAGTTACATCGCCATGCCGCGTTTGAAGACAATTGGGTCAGAGCGGGATGAGATGTTTAAGTGAACATTTCCCAACAATAGTTCCAAATTGACACCGCTCAGATGGTATTATCGGCAGTCCAACTAAACTTTCGAGTTGGCGGAAAACTGCACAAACTTCTCGGCAGACTACGTCTTCTGGATGAAACCACGGGACGAAATGAAGAGTTGCACAAATGACCTACAAGAGCACATTTAAGCTAGACAGAAGCAGAGACAATAGCAAAATCCTGAAATAGGCAACTTCATAATGCCAATTTTCCCGTAGTCAAATGTCTTGCAGTGAATTCAAGCAAACAATTGCCAGTTAAGTACTTCCGGGCTATCAGTTGATTGGTTATTCAGGGCGAGGCTTAAATGGGAGTCCAACACGCCCCTCTCCGTCAAAACACAAGAACATGTGGACTTAGTAGTGCCACCAGTATAGCGGTAGCGGAGCATTCGGTTAGGGTTACTTCGGTTTCAAAAATAGTTTCGATTAATAGCAATGTATCGAAAGATTAGTTACTCTTACAAGAATAAAGTAATATCGAGGTGTCAGACCGGAGGTAAAATTAGGAACTCGCCCCTAAATCATCTCAACGCATCACAGAATTAAGAAACGGTGCCAGAACGGTCCTTGTATGCATTTGGTAGCCGCCCTCCTTGTGGAGAAAAGCAAATGCCATTAGAAAAAGAGATGCTACTTTCAAGCACGAATTTCCCTTGATTTAATACAGTAAGAAGCTTCATATCAATGTAATTGCAGCGGATTCCGACTTAAAACGAAGATAAGTGCTTGTTATTGAGGTATTTGAATAGCGAAATTGCCCATTAACTTACCTATGGGGACAAAAATTGATCGAGAGAGAAATGGAAAGGAGAGAAGAAATATTGTTTTTTGGACATCGGCATTATAGCGTTGTTGGTAAAATGTTTGCATGCACACAGACGATATCTGAAACGTCCAGTCGTCTGCGGCGTATGTAAGGAATATCGCCATTATTGGTTTGGAAGTGAAAATGGCCACCCAAGGAATCTTCACGTGTGCAGGATCGAACAGCAGTTGCTGGGAGGTGTTCTCTTTCAGATAAATTTTCTCCGCCTTTGAGAGACTTCTATCCTTTTGTGGCTTCTCGTCCACCATACGCCACCAAAATATGCACCAAATGAGACCCAAGTTTGCGTATATGTAGAAGACCACTCCCCAACCCCACTTCTGCTCGATTTCAGCACAGACTGGCAGACCAATTAGTGGACCCAACGAGACCCCTATCACCGCTAAGGAAATAAGAGTTGAGCGCTCGCTATCAGGACTCCAGTATCGCAGAGTCCCAAACACTGCGGGTATAAGACATCCCTCCGCCATGCCTTGCAGCAACCTCAGAATAATAATAAGTGCCAATTTTGCGTCAATATTTGATCCGATAGTTTCCGCAAGTGGGAGGAATAAATTGAGTCCACAGGTCATTGCTACGGAGCATCCTAGTAGGAGGGACGAGTCATGTCGCACTGTCAAGTATCCACCGATTGGACTAGCAATAAGGTAAGCGAAAAAGACGGCATTTTCAACTAAATCCTCGGTAATAGTCGCAGTCCACGGCAGTTGGCGATGATGAGAGGGCTTAAAAAAGAGATGTTCGTC